TTTCATAGTATCAACTTGTATTGACATCTTTATCATTGCAATCATGTGATGTGTAATAACGAGTACATGTGTAGGTCCTATTATAATTTGTTTTTTTCTTTGAAATTTATTTGATTTCCAGGTACATGTATAAACAAAATAGAAATGACAACACAGATCATATAACATTAAGAGTTACAAGACATTGAAAATGCCACCAGCGGACGCCTGAGGATTACCTAAAAGAATTTCCATTCTGTCATGAGGTTCTCCACATCCACTGGTGTTACATATAAATATATTTAAGAAGTAACGGTAAAATAACATAACATAATTCAAGTTCATCCATCAAGCATAATAACTAATAGAATGATTGCATGTTTGTTGAACTTTGTGGCATGAAGAAAATAACAATCATGTACGGCATGTAACGGTAAATAAAATAACATAATTCAAGTTCATTCATCAAGCATAATAACTTATAGAATGATTGCATGTATGTTTAACTTTGTGGCATGAAGAAAATAACAATCATGTATTGCATGTAACGGTAAAATAAAATAACATAATTCAAGTTTATTCATCAAGCATAATAACTTATAAAATGATTACATGTATGTTTAACTTTGGTAATGGATCCTATCTCTGAATGCAATTTGTACTTTATTTGCCTGTATAAACATATATGTGTTTTTAAATTTGTTTTTGTTCAGCTACCCTAAATACCTGACGTTATATTATTACCAAGAATGTGTTTCTTCTAACAATAATGACAGAAGAATTATATTTTTAATAAACGATTTTATCAGTATTGTACTACATGTACTTCAAACTGGATGAGATTTATTCTTTTGCAATTTCATGTCTTTGAATTGTTCGTTTGTGCCATTAAGTCAGAGTAGACACACGCGGATCCATGTGGCGATTTTTCCGACCCCCCCCCCCCTAGCCTAAAAAACAGTTTTAAAAAAAGGATAAGAACGTAAGTTTAAGCTTTTTTTTAACAAAAACAAAAGCGGCCCCCCAAAAAAAATTAAAAACATTTTCGCCCACACCAAAAGAAATATCACACCCCCACCCCCCCCCCCCTGCGTATTCACCGACTGGATGAATCGCTGCTAAATATTTTCTCACGAATTGGGCCCCTCCCAAAAAATGTGCTTTTACACCCAGCCCCCCCCCCCCCCCTCCCATTTTTTCATTTTCACCGGCCGGCTAAGTCGGCGCTATATTTTTTCTCAAGACTTGCCCCCCCCCCACCTCTTTTCGCCGGCTGGATCCGCCCCTGAGTGTAGACGCCACATACTTGAAGTCTAATGGCTGCCAGCTGTGCCTTGGTGTGATTAAGAGAGACTTGATGTGAAATGGGTTGTTGAGATTTGGAGAGGGAAGTTCTGGTCCATCATATTACGAGAAACCGGTAGGACGCCGCTAAAGTAAAGTAAAAGTATTTTGACTAATTAGGGCTGTGAGATTCTGAGAAAAGTAAAACATCTGCTCAGAGCTAGATCATATTCTGGATCTCCACAGAAACATGATAGCTGTTCAAAACACATCGATGTTCTCTACTCTATGTCGCAAATTGGGAACTAGAAGGGCATTGATATAACCCTGTGATGTGGTAACGATAGAAGTTTCACTGCATGTCATGAAAACCCTCTGATGTAACAACAAAATCAAAAAACGATATTCCAGGGCCAAAATTATATTTTCAAGCTTTGCATTACAATGCTGCCCCTCATCACTCATACAATGTACATTTTATAAACTGATACACAATATTTTTTCAAATACTTTTTTTCACATTTTCCGCAATGCCCCGTTAAAATTAAAATTACATCTATGATTTAAGACATTCAATATATCTTACTAAGGCAATTCTACTGAGCTTAAAGGAAACCAAACCCCAAGTAATAACTTTACTTATTCTGAGAGATTCATTATGTTATTACCCATAAATCTAAAAGATTCCCCACCGAAGTTTATGAGAGAGGTATAAAGCAAAAATAAAGTACACTTTCTCAGCACGACATGGGCATCGCCATTTTCTTGATAATGTGACGTACTATGCGAAGTCGGTTATCAAGTAGGCCTAAATGTATTCAAATGTATGGATGCTTCTTTCCCAGACGTGTGTGGTGATGAAGCATTTCATTCACCTGCTATTATCCTTTGTACTATAATTGCCAGAACGCAAATTGCATAAATTAGTTAGTGCTCTTCTGGGTTGAAGGTTTATCATAAATGAAATAGATTTGTCAACTGCTATAGTGTAGTATTTATAAATGTATTTGTTACAATTGTGCCCCTGTTATTTATTTTTCACCTTATTTAATTTCTATCATCTCAGTTGTTATTTTTTTCATTGAAAAGTAAAGGTTTCCGTCGTTATTGATTTAAAAATTCTTTCCAACTAAAGCTTGGTGCATGATACATGTACAACTTCAACAGATACGTCACATCTTTAAGAAAATGGCTGCGCCCATGTCATGCTGACAAGCATCACACCATGCCAGGAATATCGTCATTTATATATATCTTGTACATTTTCGTAAGGAATATTGTACATCAAAGGGCAGGAATACATCTCATTTTTCAGAATACCTACACTTATTCTTTGGGTTTAGGTTTCCTTTAATGAAAAATGTATGGGCATAGCTAAATTTTATTTTCAATAATCTATAATCATATTTTGTAATTCTCCTTGATAAATTTCCTAAATTGTTACACGGTTTTATTATAGTTTGTAGATAATCTGTCTTATATTTAAAAGGGGGGCAGTGGCTATACAAGAAGCTTCCATTGACAAAACATGGCAAACATATTAAGAACAATGCGCTATTTAAGTACATTTTCCGTTTAGGGACAAACATTTGAATCCAATCAGTTGTAAGACCTATTTGAAAGAAGGCTGAATGCACACGAAAGGAATCTAGCTGAAAGAAACGTCTATATTGACCAGAAAAAAGCTGACATAAAAGAGCAATATTATTAGGTACGTCGATACGAGGATAAAAGCGAGGGCGCTCTTCAAAATAGATTAGGTTAATTAATTTTTAAAATATGTTTTTAATGTACCCATGTTTCAAAAATTGATTCTAAAAATATGAAATGGCATGAACTATCACTCTACAAAGTTTGAATCATCAATTTAAAGCGCAAGACAAAAAGTTGATCAAACTACCTAACGGGACGATAACACGATCTCGAACTGTAATCCTTCGTACATACACATTTTGCCATTCAGGATGGATCCCATTCGCGACAGATTGTGTGGAAATCGATTTACACGTCGTGCATTTTACATGCAGGAAAGGGTGTATCACGCCGTTTAATTCCGTTTAATTAGAGGTAGAATTTGCGTAGCAATAAGACGAATTCAGATTTTTTTTCCCCCTGCCATTTATTTATTATGCAAGTCGAACCTAATACGTTTTTATGTCTTTCCATAATACTTAGTGTAAAACTAACAAAATTATACACATTATGTGGTGAATATAATTCTAACACAAGAAATCTATAGAAGATTATAGCTGCAATATGTGACAAATAGATGTAAGAGCTGTTGTGTGTGCCAGGTTTGCCACTGTATGATTATTGGATATCACGATGTTAACATTGTTTATGTATACCCATTTCAGGTTAAATAGATCATTCGAATAATAGGAATTTATTTAATCCTGCAGTCGTTTTAGAACAATCAAACCTTGGTATTCATCTATGGTATAGATATGGGCTTTTGGGGTTTACCTTGCATATGTTATTATTCATTATCTCCATATGTTTTCTTTTAATGCACCCCCTCAATAAGTGTTCAGCACAATTAACTTTGAGGTATATATGCTATCATGTTTCTTGTAAATTGATCCTCAGCATGAGTGTTCAAGCAGTATTAATTCTCAGGGGCGATGAATTGTAGTTCCGCTATTCAATTTTGTTTTTAAATACGTAAATAGCCTTTCAATTTGAAGAATATATATTCAATGTCTGATCTGGCGAGAGCAACCAAAATTGTGCGAACTGAATTAAAGTGACATAAAAGCTCCAAGCCTCAAACATATGGTTTATTATCATTATTGTAGGTTGTTATTGTTGTTATTATTATGATTATTATTACTATTATTATTATTATCGTCATCATTATCATATTCATTATCAGTATTTATATCATCCCCATGCAGTACGCCTTATATGTTTCTCTATATACTGACCTTCTTGTTAATACCACTGTATAGTCTAATTGAGCTGTACCTCTGCACCATCTAACATTCTTCTGAATTCGACTTAATTGGCTTATGAAGATAATTGTTTCCCTTTGAAACAGAACATTAACAAACGAAACTGCCTACAACTTAAATGACAACGTCAGATCGACACAAATTAAGCAGTCATTGACAATTGCGGATTTTTTCTTTAAGAACAGCGGTAGCGTCTGAATAGTCTTGTTCAAGACTCAAATGCACCAGAAGTCTTAGGAGACTCGAATTTATCCGCAGCATTGAACTCAGAATCGAATTAATATAGCAAATTTGATATCTATAACACATCTAATTAAGAATTCAATCTGCGATAGAAGTAAAAATCTGTTTCATAAAACAAACAACAAGTTGATATAGTCAATAATGTATTGATAGTTCGCGAACGAGTCTAATTGCACTGTCGCGCTCTAAAACAACTACGGGCTAAATATAGACTTTATCTGTGACAATGAACCCAACGCTTGACACGGTTTTCTGTAGAAATCCTGTAAGTACATGTCGTATTTATTCCGTAATTTCGTATTCATAAGGTGATATTTATGTGGTTTTTGATATTTGAATATTTTCCGGAGGTTAAACAAAGATTGATTCTGAGAGCTCGAGAGTGAGAGCTCGTGTCACGGTGTGTGAGTAGCCGGGGGGCGTCTTATTTTTTCGTACCACGGCGAGCCCGGATTCCTATTATTTCATGAATATTCATTACGCAGGGTCGGGGAAAGTCTCGATTCTCTTGAATATTCATGTAATCGAGGTACGGTACTAACTACTGTGCATGTTGTTGAGGTCGCAATCGCAGCAGTCTGATTCATGCACGACGCTACTCGCACAAAGTGAGAAGATTTAGTTCACGGAGAATGGAGAATGGGTGAGTAATTCTCGCTACCCCAAATAGCGATTCTGCCGAGATCCGGGGAAAATCCTGAAAACGCGCATTGCATTATGGGATAGCTTTTCGACATTACAGCTTCCTGTGCAGGCGTTCGTGATCACAACCCTCTCTTTCACGGTAGAGTTTAACGGCCTTTTGTGCTAAAGTCACTAATTCTGCCCGAAGCTTTCCATTGCATATTATAATCTGTACAAATTACACTGATTGGCATCGATTTTAGCGTGCGTGAAAACTCTGCACAGCGAACACAGGCGCTAGCGCCAGCGGGATGGGACTCTATACCGGAAGTTGTAGTGACGACCCGAGAGAGTGAAAATTACCTCGTCTCGCGAATTTCGAGATTTTCGTACCTATTTAGGGTAGCGAGAATTGATTGAGTGAATTTAGTAATTAATGTTGAAAAAGCTGTAATTCGTGATCTACGGTAATTTCTTTACATTTTGAGACTGTTCTCAACAGATTTTTGGGAAAGGGCTAGGAAAATATTTCTCTCGAAATTGCACTTCGCCTTTTCATCGTCGTGAAGTAGTTTGGCTGCGGTTTGCCGTCATGTCACCCTTGTACTCTAGTTAGAGCCCCGGGGTTCCGGCAGGCCCACCCCGGGGAATTTCGGTGCTCATCTGCATCAAGATAAACTTTCTAATCAGGTTTTATTCCAAATTTGATCGTCATCGTGAATCTAATTCAACAATCATCGATTGAATTTAAATCTAGATTTAACGTTACACCTTAAAATAATCTATGAAGTATGATTTCTTTAATAATCCAAGAGGGTTAATTCTTGTTTATATCTTTAGTAGATGTGGACTCTGTTGGCTACACTCAGTGCCATATTTCGCTCAGTTGCGTCATTGGTGCGTGTCAACTTTTAGACCAAAATTGTTTGTGACCATGGATAACCAAACAACTCCAAACCCTATTTCATTTAGATGTAAACCTGGAACTTATTAATAAAAATATTCAAAGAAAAACAAACAAAGTAGTCTAGGATTCATTTATTTAATGTTTAGGTGCTGTGTTTGTCCAGCGCATGCTTGTCAAGTTGTCGACATGACTCATATAGATCTAGACCTATTAAAGATTTTTTTTCTCCAAAGTGTGCAGTTCATTTGATAAATCTATTTTTGTTGGATGTTGTATAAGAGAAGACCCCTGGGCTAGTCGACAATTATGTTTACTTATACGGTATGTAGTCCACCTCTTGTTATAATAAACTAATTCTACTTAGTACTACTTCATGTTCATACTATAGGCCATATATATAGGCCATGGTATATTATACACCACTGTTCGAGGCACAAGTTAAATTATCTTCCATTTAGTTTTACTTTGTACTGTGGTTCATTAAATAGGAATGTTGATTTCCACACCATATGAAAATTAAGGGCAACCATGACATAAAAAATAGCTATTAATTTGTATTATGCTTGATCTAGACATTTTATTTTGTTAAGGAGAAAGGGATTCCTTCATTGTCGTATTGATTTTTTTCTTCTTCTTTTAGTTCAAAAAGATTGAAACTGAAGAGCTGGAAGGAGGACATTACAACATCTCTTATATTTGCAAGATGACGCAGAAAGTCCCATGCAGGTAAAGTTATCAGGTTATTTAACACACAAATATTAAACGACCACCTATTAATTCACTCAAAAGGCCTTGCCCCCCCCCCCCCCCCCGTGAAAAAAAAAGAGAGAAGAAAGGAAAAGAAGGGAAAGGGAAAGGGAAAGAGGAGAGAAAGGGAAAGACAGAAGAGGAAGAAGAAAAGAAAAGGGGAAAGAAGGAGATCGGGGGGGGGGGGGGCGAAAGGGCCTTGCCTCCCCCCACTGATGGGGGGGGGGGGGGGCTTGGGGAAATCAAATTCAAACGTGGTTTATTTTTAATTCTAAAGGTGGGTTACAAATAATGCTGAAAATGACATAATTTCCGAAATTTTTCCTCACTTTGAGTAAATTATACTTTTTTATGCGTTTGTTGGAAAATAACAAATTCCTAAATTTACAGCCAGGCAAGAAGTATGATTCTTGAGATTCCTACATGTCAGGGCCCGAGGAACGGGGGGGGGGGGGGATCGGGAGCCTCGAGCTCTCTACTCCCTCCCCTCCCACTTTAGAAAAAAAAGTATATTAAAGAGAAATAAAAAAAGAAAGAGAGCAAGAAAGAAAGAATAGTTAACTCCCAGTGTCAACAAATAATGAGGCATCAAAGTTGCTCATCTGACCGTGATTAAATGCCTAAAACCCCTAAGCTTCCGGGGGGTCTGCCCCCTGGATTTTACCTAGGGCCCTAAGGCGGGCCCCTGAATGCTTATCTGACCGTAATTTATTGCCTTAAACCCCTGAGCTTCCGGGGCCGGACAAGGTATCAAAATGTGTTTATCTGACTGCAGGCCCGTAGCCAGGGGGCGGGGGCGGTCCCCCCAAAATCACTGCCCCCCCCCCCCCCAAAAAAAAAAAAAAAAGAGAGGAAAGAAAAAGAAGAGGACGTAGAAAGAAAAAGGAGCAGACAAAGAACATCTTTGAAATTCAGACAAGGATTAAGAGTCGAGAACTGTACAACGAATCGTCTTCTTTCTCTAATGATTTAATGAATCGTAAAAGCTTCCGCATTCGCGGAGGAGGGAGGGGGTAACTCGCCCCTCCCTGCACCCACCCCCCCCCCATTACGTCACTGCTGGTCACCATTACATACCAATATTTGGCTCGCATAATTTCAAATTTTGGACCCACCCCCCTTAGAAATCCTGGATCCGCGCCTGGTTGCAAGCATATATAGTGGAGGGTATATTTTATTCTAGTTCTGCACCTAGCATACAAATATTGATGTCTTTTCTTTCTTTGTTTACAAAGGAAAACTTGTCCTTATTTACAGGAGGTCCTGTGTTTAGAAGAGCCATAGCTAATGCACATCCAAAGCACTACATGTTGGGTATGCACAGGACCTCTCATTATTTTTTTTGTAAGGGGTCCTTTCACTTCTTGAGCAATGAAGATGAAGAAGAACACAAAATAAGATTGATAAAATTCTGTTTATAGGATGTATTACGGTTGATATGTATCCATTAGTATCAGTTTTTAATTGAAGTACCTACCGGTCCATTGTTTTCTCTCATGTAGGATGATGCTTCTCTACGAGGATGATGAAGGCATGCTGGTTTATAAATTCGGGAGAGGAACAAAGAACAGATATTGACGGGATCATATCTAGAGATGCAGGCCTACTACACTTCATACGAGCAAGTGTACTAATATACATGAAGGTGCCCCTTATAAACTTTTGTGGAACACATGTCATGCAGAAAATTATAGATCTGAAAAAGATATTTTTCATTGTCAGTTGACTTGTAAAAGAATTATTGACTGAATATCACAATTGTTATTTAGATTAAAAATTGAATGTCAATATAGATGAATAAATCTACATTACGTATGTTTCAGTAGCATTATTTCCAGTACATTCTCTGGTCCAAGTTGTTTGGTCATTATATGTCCCATACTTAACCAAGTATTATTCAATTACCGGTATGAGCACGAGTTGTATTACATTGTATTACTTATTTATACCTAGTCGGATCCGAGCTCCAGCAGGCCTATCGTCTTAATGGGATCATCAATAATAATCTAAGATGTGGTCAGTATTTAAACTAGTCTTGTACAGAAAATAGTTTAGGTTTGCCCACTAGAACCCCAAGTGAATTTCAGTCCTTCTTTTTTCTGAGCAGGTATCAGGGTGTATGTTACTAGTCATTGTTGATTTTCTTATTTCATTTTTCCATTCAACAGACTTGGTTTATATTTCTTCTGAAACTAGGCTACAACTTTAGTGATGAATGCAGAAGATATCTACACGGGACTACGTCTTAAAGATGCCACCCTCGTATAATGAAAGAGGACAATAGAGATGGGTTTCAACTGGAATGATATTTATTTGTTATTTGTATTATATGTTTGTAGAATACTACATTCAATAAAGCTAATGAAGTTTATCATCTTGTCAACTTTCAAATAATTAAAGATAACTAATCCTCAACGAATAAACATTAAAATTCTAACAAAGTCAACTACCATCTTATAGGATGAAACTGAGGACTGGGCAGAAAGATTCTCCTTGAAATTTCAGTGATAAAGGTCTATCAGTCGATTTTAAAGATTGAATTAATCAATGATATTTTAATAATAATTATACATTATGAAATTCATTTACCTCTATGGACTTCTGTATTAGAAGTTTTGTAGATTATGACATTATTGCTACTTCAAGTATTGTATGTAAGAAGGTTTGAAAGACAACCCTCTAAATGCATTAAATATGGAAACTGCTAATCATCATTGTCTTTCGTATCCAAACTGCTAACTTTAATAGAAGCATGTTTCGATGCTTTCTAACTTAAGAAAATTAGGGGGGGGGGGGGCTTGCTATCCTCTTCCAGTTGCTGTTACTACATGGTCCATGTTACGGGATGCAAAAGTATACAAATATGATTATGTTTATATTAGAAGGATTTAGAAAGTGAAAACTTTGGAATTATAGCATTACTGTTGGTAGAAATAATGGCAGTGTTGATTGTTAATGGGAGGGGGGGGGGGGGTTCCTGGTAAATTAATGGTATGCCAATGTCATATTAATAAAAAAAAATAAAAAAACTATTCTTAAAAATAAAATTTTACAGGACATGGGCCTTCTAACGAAAACCCTGGTACCAATTGTTGTTGTGTTGTTGTTGTTGTTGTTGTTTTTTTTTTTTGGGGGGGGGGGGGGACGGGGGGCTGGCAAACCAATTAAAATTTCCAGTGTTATATTCAAATTAACAAAAAATTATGTCAATAAATTGAAATTAAACAATGTTTGAATGAAATGATTAACATACTTTCCGGTTTCTCTGACCTCTACATTAAAAATGTTCTACTTCTAGCAAAGCTCCTGCAAAGGCTGCAAAAAGGGAGAGTGAAGAGAATCAAATTGAAATGTGGACAGTAACGGAGTGAATATGGAATGGTTGATCGTAGTTGATAACGAGTGAATGCAAATGAGTGGCAACAAGTACGACTGAAAGTGAGACAGAAAGGAATTGCAATAGGTTGCTCTGTCAAGAGAACAAACCTTGCAGAAGATAGTTTTCGAAAGATAGAGAAAGAGAGAAAAAGAGAATTATAAAAAAAAGGAAAGGGGCACCCATCAGTAAGAAAAGGGTACTTACATAAAAGAAAAAGGAGGCATGTGTCAAAGGGGCATTTATGAGAAAGGGAAGGAGCTCCTATTAAACAGGGAAAGGGGCACATATCCAAATGTAAAAGGGCACTTGTTAGAAAGTATAAGGGGACGCGTGTCAAAATAAAAGGGGCTTTTATCAGATGTCACAAGGGGCACTTATGAAAATGGAACAGTGGCACTTATTATAAAGTAAAAGGGGCATTTGTTGAAGAAAGAGGGACGCCTGTCAGATTTGAATAGGGGGTAATTATCGCAGGTGGTAAGGGGGCACTTAAAAAGAATGTGTAGTTATATCTCTCGAGTCAGTTGACTCATCATGCGTGGGAACTGTGGGTGCTGGGGTTCCTGCAGTAACCATATATATGGATTTTCTTCAGTGGGTGCATATAACTCGTGGACATTGTAAACCTTCAAATGATGAATTACCATCGAGTCCCCTACCCCCGGCCCCTTCCCTCATTATTTTGTCACTAAGCTCGTGACAAACATATAATCCAGATGAAATACGCCGTAGGATGAAATCATTTCTTCACAGTATATGAGTAAGGATAGAAAAATGTAAGAAAGATACCAAGGAGAACTTTTAAGAGAAAAAGAGAAAGGAAAGGAAAAAAATGGTAGCTAGGCCTAAACAAAAACAAGAGGTAGATAAAAGAAAAATGAGTGAAGATATGGTATCAATATTATCTTGCTCCTTTCCCTTTTTCTTTCGTCTTCTTTTCATTTCAATTTTCTTGCAATTTATTTCTTTCTTCCTTGGTTTCTATTCCATATTCTTTATTTCTTCCATTCATTTATTATTTATACATATTTTATTTTATAATTTTTTCATTCTTCTTTCTAATCCCATTTTTTTTCCTTCCTTTTCTTCATCATGCAGTTAAGTGAGCATAGATCATAGAAATAATTTAAGTGCAGTACAAAAGTATTTATTTTTGCTAAATGTCTTTATGTTATTTATTTTATACAGTTTATAATACCAAAATTCAACCTCTGCTTGTAATATTTAAAAAGCAAACCTCGAAAAGTAGGCCTAGGCTACTCACAATATGCCTATCAAGACTTTTGCTTGAAATATATCTTGTCTACTGACATTTTGACATTTACTAGTAATTAAACACAGCATTTATGACTGTATTATCTAAATGACCATGACATTGCTTTTCTATGTCATTTTATAGGTATACCATTAATAATCCAACGTACGTGTTACACACGATATTCGATGCTGCGCATGGTATACGTACGTACGTACGTGCAATCATACATGAATATTCAAGAGAATCGAGGCTTTCCCCGACCCTGCGTAATGAATATTCATGAAATAATAGGAATCCGGGCTCGCCGTGGTACGAAAAAATAAGACGCAGCCGGGGGCGGGGTGAGTGAGTGCGTGTAGTGTCCGCCCTAGAACTCCCGGGCAGTTTCGCAACACTCCCTACGGCCTACTGTCAGTACTGAGCTGATGTATACTGCACACACATAGCTGCATTAATAATAATAATATTTAATTTTTATATAGCGCTTAATACAAATGTCTCTAACCGCCTTTACAAAAATGTTTCTAAGCGCTTTACAAGTAGGCCCTATAGTGCTATACAAATTTTATTAGTCTACTATCCTTCTTCTTCTTCAAAGTTCAAGATAATTAATCTGCCTCCTCAATCTACTGAAGAGTGAAGTTTCTTGCAGATGCCTAGAAATAGAATGTACTAGTAGATCTAGATTCTAGACCTACTAGGCCTGATTGGGGTGTGCATGTGGACCATTACACTAGGGTCTAGATTTTACTACTTGACCTCTAGAGCTACGAATAGTGCAATGAAATGGTTCTTTGCTAGGGTGGTGACTCTCCTGTACACGGTGCCTCCACTTAACGTCCTATCCTAGGGACGGAGTGTTTTCCACTTGACATCCTGCGCCTATGAACAAGGGAAGGGGAACGTTAACACACTTCAGTCATCCGCCTGGGTTGGGGTCGAACCCGGGATCTCCCTTCTTAGATCTACCTTCTTAGATCTAGACTAGACCTAGTATATCCATGTTTGCTTCGACAGGCAGATGCTTTAACTGAGCAAACTCGCCTCCTGGCTGTGTTTTAAAAGCTGTGCTATTGATTCTCAACATTTCACACAGCACTGTACAAAACTCGGCTGATTTCACTCAAAATTTGTACTTTACTTAGACCTCGTGACAATTGATGACACCTACTACTAACTAGATAGTCTAAAATAGCAGTAAAATACATACAGATGTTTCAAAAAATAATTTAAAAATGTTAAGCGTGGGCTTACTGTCAAAATTGCCAATCAGCCACTTCGCATCGTCTTTATTGCGTGCATTCGTTTGTTAGGTGTGTATGGACTATTTGTGTTTGCAATTCTGCCTATTACAAGTAGTGCAGTGCTAAATAGCTAAGGTCAATACGCATTAGCATTTACTCTCTATCCTGCCCCCCCCCCCATTCCGAAAACGGAGGAATACCATGCATGTTACCAAAATGTCCGGTAAAGGGGTACTTTTCGTGCGACAAAGTCCGGCCCGAGAATTCTAAAAAAAGGGGGTGTATTTGACTTTTCACATGGAGGTTTTTTTTAAGAAGGGGGTGTTTTTTTTCTTCTCCTCTCTTTGGACTCCTGAGAAATTAAAAAAGGGGATTATAAAATATCTTGAACATAGAAAAATCGATCAAATCCAGGGACTGATGTAGACTATTTTTATACTGTAGTCTATCCTAATTCACACACAGCTGCATTCAGGCGCGTACGCAGGATTTTTTGAAGGGGGGGGGGTTTAACATTTACAAATCGGGCCGGAAAATTTTGCAACGACTCAGCCGACCGCTGAATAAGCGGGGAGAGGGGGGGGGGGGGGGGGGGGGGGGGGGGGGGTAAGAGGACACTTTTTTTTTTTTTTTGGAGTCCCAAAAAAATCGCAACGACTCAGCCGACCGCTGAATAAGCGGGGGGGGGGGGGGGGTTAGGGTTAGGGTTACTGATTCATTAAATCTAAAAAGTATCTTTACGAGGATAAAGTACTTAGTTACAGAGTTTGATTACATAAGTCATTCATTATGACAGGTACAAACATTAGTATGTGAAAGGACACAGTCATGCAGGCACAGGTGATGTCAGTTAAGAATAATGGAAGGTTTATTTCTAACTAAGTCTCAATATC